GTCATAAGATTCGGCTCTGGCCCTTCTGAGGGATGCACAGACGCTCCATGCTTGTAAGACAGCCTAGATTGCAGCTTCATCTTCGCCACTGGGACAAGCCCAGACGCGGATGAACCTATGGCTGCAGCACATTGTGAATCGAAACGAAAGGAGAAAAAATATCCCGGTGTGATCCTGATCACCCTATAAACAATAATCAACTGCACTACCTGGTATCCTTTTTGCGAGCCTCAACACCGCTGGTCAGGCCACCGGAGTGCCACTAGCCTCACCGCTAGCCAAGGCACATGACGAGGTGTGACGGCGAGCCCTTGCTGCATAAGCTGTGTTGAGCATCGGTGAGAAGGGCCGGCTGGCAGGGCTGACAGGAAACAGCTCGCGGCATACGGCAGAGCAAGCACTGGTGGCACTGCAAGCGCCTTTGCGTGCGTCCAGGCGAGTGACTTCAAGAAGGAAAGTGCACAAGCGGGGTTTCTGTGTGAGCCGTCTGTCTTTGTAACATTACATACATTACATCTTGTGGCCCACAGCACCACGAGTTCCTCCATCCGCCAAGCACCTGAGCTGCTCTCCAGCGTTCCTCGAGCCTGCACAGCCGGCACGGCCTGCAACTGCCGGCGAGGTCCACAGCATCCCTCGCACGGCAGAGGATCCAAGTTCCGCAACGTTGGCAACGGCAGGGCGCACTGCGAACATGCGCCTCGGGAACAATGGCCTTGGATGTCGCATGTGGATCGCCGCGTTGCTTGCGCGAATGTTTCTGGAAGCTTTGCTTCAGCAGAGCTCGCCGCACTGGCACGCCGTGTCCTGAATTTCCTGAATCTTGTCGATGGCATGCGATGCAAGCTGGCCATCGTTTGCCAGTTGACGGAACATAGCACCAAACCGGGCTGCTCTGTTTCGGGCCACTGGAACAGCAGCGGGCGCAGCAATAGAACAACCAAAGCACGCAGAGCTGAAGGTTGGCGGTGCGGTCTCCCTGGATGGGAGCCTCAATGGACTCATGGCACCCCAGCAAAAATCACTGTGGTGGCACTAACTTCTCTTCTGTGTAGCTGTGTAGACATCAGGAGCTGTCGTCCGGTGAGGTGGTGCTGGCGGTGAGGTGTGACGTGCTGCTCGCGATGGCCGAAGACCTCTTGAAGGCGCTCTCCTTCCTCAGCCAACCGACCGAGACAACTTAAGCTGGAGGCTAAACATAGGCACGCGCGAAGTCAGGCGGTGCAGCGAAGGGCATCCGGAAACCACAGCTGGTTTGTTTCGATGCCGAGACCTCCTCATCGCGCTGGACGGTGCACAGAGGTGGCATGGCGAAGCACCCTTGCGCATGGGAAGCGGAACCTCTGTGACACAGCCAGCGTGCTGACCAAGCAGCCTACCTGGGGCAAGTTCCTGGGCTTCAGGGTCTCCCCTTGCGGCCCTGGCAGGTTGACTTCAAAACCGGCGTGGGCTTCTCGGCCACGGCTTCAACTGAGCCCCCCTCAAGCCACTAAGGCACTAACATCCGCTTGGGTCCGATACAACACGGCAGAAGCATGCCCGAGAGCCCCAATGGCCATCTAAGCCCTCTAGCTTGAAGGCAAGCTGCTCGCCACGAGCAGGTACACCAGTTTCGACTCTCAGTACCAGTTGAAGTAGTGCCGTCTCCACGTGTCTCTCTCTTCAGCGCCTCATGTTGCATCTGTTATGTCAGGTCCTTAAGACCCACCGCGGACTCTTTCCGAAAACTCCGGAGCTTGCGCGGCACGCCTGTTTTACTCACGCGGCTTACGCGGCGCTTGGTTTTGGCATGCTAGCTTGCGCGAGCTTACGCGGAAACTGTCAAGGTCCTGAAACTTTGCTTGCGCGAGCTTGTGCGAAACGTGGCCAAACACCCGTTGCTTTCGCGGACCATCCACGGGTGTCTTAGATATGCCACATATGCGGGCCTGGGTTTCTTGAAGCCTCTGCCTCTTGGATGTTTCCTTCTTTTTGGCCAGTTTTCACGGGACCTCATGCAAAGCAGCAAACACGGGCGCCTCCGAGCCCTCCGCTGGGTCACTGCAGGCAGCGCCTGTCGAGCCCGCAGCGCAAGCACGGAGAGCACATGAGACAGTGGGGCCAGGCTACTGCGGCAACTGTAGGATCTGGAAGCCCGCACGGAGGCTAGCGCGGCAGGCCGCGCCGCAAGACCATCCGCGAATCCCAAAAGTTGCGAACCACCCGGCAGTTTGGACGGCCTGCCTGGCATGTGTCGGCACACTTTCGAAAGTGCTTATGCAAGAACTTTCGCGAGCGCGTGCGTGAGCTGCACACGAGGCATCCGGAAAAGAGTGTGGCGACCCGGCACGCGCAAGTCCGCTGCTCGATTCTATAGGGCAGTCCAAGGTGGCCACATGCAGGAGGTGACGGTGAGCAGGCCGCTGGAGAGGTTCGGCAGGGGGGGATTACACACCTCTCCACAGGTATCTGCTGGCTCTGCGAACTGCGTGGCGTGAGGCCGGCTTGCACAAAGCTGAGAAAGAAACGCCTAACCGTCTAACCGAAGCCAAGGCGAGCGACTGCTGCGAAAACTTGAAAACATGCAGCAGGCCACGTCCCTCGATGTCCCACGGCCGACGCACCAACACCACACCGAACACATCAGACACACCCCGCAATGCCGAGCCAGGCGGAGCAGCAGCATTTGCGGCACGGCACGAGAACCTGCTCACCCTGCGAACCGAGGCAGGATGCCAAGGCCTGGCAGACTGTCGTGTGGCACGCCGGCGCCAAGGTGCGAGGCAGATCGCGAGGGCAGTACCTGCTGCGCTGATGGAAGAACTTGTGAAAATCCTTGGAACCTTCGCCGGCTGTCGAATCTGGCGGTTCAAGGGGACAACCAGCTCGCGAGGCTTGCGGTCCACTGGCAAGCCAGAACCGCTTCCCCTCAGCACGCAGGATGCCATGAGTCTATGAGGCTCTTCAGCATCAGCTTGGCTCGGTCGGGGGCATGGCCGGGTCGCCAGGCCCGTCGATCAGCAAATGGACACGTCTGTCTGCGGCAGCTGCCCTGCCGCAGACTGGACTCCCAGTGACTGGACGAGCCGAGTGTCGCCTCCGGCACCATGCAAAAACATGCGGGAACAAGCTCGGAGAAGTGCACGTGCTTGGAAGCTTTTGCTTTCGGGTTTGCTGGGTCGCAGATGTCGCAAGGTGAGAGATTCTCCGGAACAGTCTACACAGTGGCCTGGAAAGCGCCTTTTTGCTCCACGGCAAGCTGCTGAGACACAAAGATTCCACTGAACTCACAGGGTTGGCTTGCACGTGGGCCTGAAGTCCACAGAGCTGTCAGCAGCCCCATCATTCCGATCATCAGTGCCGCATCGAGGCAGTGCCAATGCTTCGTTTGGTGGAATCTCTGTGGGGGGCTGTTAAGCCGCAAGCATGCTCACGCCACCCTTGCCAGGCACGTGGCTGCCGCGTTTCATGACAACATGGTCATGGTGAGGGCATCTCACGGAATCTCACGTGCGATACACGTCGGAGTGGGGGCGGCATCGGCAGAACCCCGTAGCCTCGGCTGACGAAGTCTCCTGGCGTGGGAGCCATGGCTGGTGGGCCAGGTTGGCATCTGCGTCGGAGCCCGGCCACGTCCCCACAAAGTATCCTATCCGCACATTTCTGTATCCAAACTGAGCCCTATGGTTGATGCAGGAAGAAGGTCACGCCAAGTGCTTTGAGTCGCAGTAGATACGATGTAGGTTCAGGCAGGGTAATCTTGCAGATCTTGCAGCATAACAGAGTTCTGACCCACAAGACCATCCTAACCTCGCTTCTGAGGACAATGCCAAAAGCAACCAACGAACAATCACGCTGCGTATGGGCGAGATGCCTGCTTATCACACACATGGGTCTGACAGCTTTGATGAAACTGCAGTTGAAGCCGATAGAGTACCGGCAGGGAGCGTAGCATCGTCGGCGGCGACGCTGCAGATCCACCAAGCCTGGGGCCTCGAGCACTTCTCTCAGAGACACATGAGACACAGATCTTCAATCTAGAGCCAGTGACAGCCAGTGGAGCAGGAGGCGTGGCACAGAGCCATCGAGTGACGGGAGCTTGGCAGAATTGAGTATCAGAGTATCCGAAGCATCAAGAGAATCGACTGCCACCAGGGAATGTCTAGCCGACGATGAGACTGATCCCACCGCCGTGCGCTGACCTAGCATGTGCACCGACTGGTTGGAGTGACAAGCACAAAGGTCGCAGGATAACAAGTACGACAAGTCCCCCGTAACTTTGGCACGAGCCTTAATCTCAAACAAACACCCTATGGATATAGTAAGAAAATGAAATGTCGCATGAGGGATACTGCAAGCTCGATTGGCTCATACTCCCAAAAGCGCAACAACCAAACAAACCAATTAAACGAGAAGGATATGCTGGATCTGCCGGAATCTCTTCAGGCTCTTCTGGAGAGGTTGCCAAGCTTACCACAACCAAACACCCATCCCCCAGACCTGAAGGCTACATTTGACGTGGCATGTGGCCTGCTAGAGCGGGACAATGCGGACCCGGTATGTGCCAAGTGCACGAAGCTGCGGAACCATCGGCACCTTGATTTTTGCAGCCAAGGACGTCGCCAGGGCCGCATCTTAGACGGCTGGTGCGGCAGGCCAACCAAAGCTGCCCGCGTCACAGAACGTCGCAAGCACTTGGGCGGGTGACTTGCTGCTACGAGACTAGGCGCGATCTCGCCGACATGAAGCATCCCACGCGGCGCAGCCCATACGGACCACACAGGTGCCAAAAGGGGCGATGAGCCCTAAAACCAAGGCAAGGGACTCCCTGAGGCAAAAGGTGCTTCGTAGCCCTGAATCTGAAGGGAGGGCGCGTGCACCGCAGAGGCATTCTCAGGAGGCCACCTAGGGCACAAAAGAGGACACGAGGCGAGGCTTTCGTGCACGGCCACCTTGAGGCTTGTGGGGACCACTATAGTCACTATAGACTGCATGAGAAGCCACAAAAGGGGCAACACTTGGCACAGGCAACCAAACGGAGCACCGGCTCTTCAAGGCATCTGCCTCATCCTCTTCGGGCTCAAAAATCTCAAGAGACGAGCGGCTCGCATCGCGGTGCGCCTCAGTGCACCTCCGACCACCGGCAGTTCGCACGGGTGTGGGAAGGAAGAAGCCGACCATGCCGCCGGGCCGGCAAGTCGCCTGGCAAGTGTCAGAGCATGGCACCAAAGCGCGGGCCTGGAGTTGCAAGGCTCGGACAGAGCCACACTGAAGCCGTGGGAAACAAACGAGTGCTCACCTTGTCAGCAGACACAGGCTGCGCACAGGCCGTGCATTCCGCTCACAATGGCACAAGCCTTATCTAGGACAGGGAAGCTGTGCCGAGCACGCCACACCTCATGCACAGCACGTGGTGAACATGTCTCCGCGGGGCAGGCCAGAAGCGTGATGCTCCAGGCCGCCTCTTTGCCTTTAAGGGATTTAGTGATAGCTTGGGGTTAAATAGCGCACCCCGAAGATTAATGGACATCCGCCATACCGCCGATTCTCGATGCAACCGGGATGAAAGGGTGATGAGCAACCCTACCACGACAGCATCTCCGAACCTCGAGAGCCAATCCGAAGATTAATGCAGGGATTCATGGACAACCGTTCCCAGCTTCTGCCGTATCAAATCTGCCCGCCAGGTCATTGAGCATGGATCATGTCTTCAAGCTGCCCGGCACCCTGACAAGCTTCAGGGGCAGGCGGGTGTTGCGAATCGTTCCCATTCTTGGGTGGACCACTGCAAGGCTTGTGACGAGCTGAAGGAGCACACCCAGCTCTCTTACCCTGTTTGTGTGTCCGGCTCGGCTGGAACCAGACGGAACATAGAAGCTGCGGGCTCCATGCAGGCGCTCAGGCTCGCCTTATCAGCATGCATGGTGCAGGCCATGTAGTCCGCTCACTATGGCACAAGCCTCATCTGAGATAGACGCTGATGTGGCGTGTTGGAAAAAGGACCTCGGAGAGGTTCCGGCCGGTCCTGACTCGCGGCAAGAGACGTCTGGACTCCGCGTGGCGCACGCCAGTGCTGCTCACCGGCAACGGGAGCACATCCCGCGCTCTCTTGCCCTGTGTGCCTCCGGTTCCGTTCCTCTTGCCTTGTCGCCTTCGACGTTACTTTGCAGACTCCGTTCTGGGGAATGATGTCCCGCTTTCTTCCGCAGTCCCCTGCACATGTGCAGAAGCTGGAAGCGGAATGCTTTCAATGTCGCAATGTCTTCTGTTCTGTCACAGAGCCGCACCCACGCCGCCGGCCCTAGCGCAGCTTCGGCCGTGCCGAGGGCATGTTCCACATGCTCACATGGTGAGCTGCGGCGCAGACCTGCAACAATCCCGTCTGCTGGTTTTGCCTGTGCAGCACCGGCACGCACTGCCAAGGTTCGCGCTGTGCGTCACCTCCGTTCAGTACATGTTGAGCACGTGGCATCTGCAGTTGCCAGCTTTTCGAGGAGCGCGCGGAAGGAAGCGCCCGACTCCGCTGCGTCTTGGCCTTCGTCTCCTTCGTGCCCTCTCATCTTTCGGCTACGGTATAACTCCAAGCAGGCCCGAATCCTCCACCCCCCACGATCTGGTTGCCCAATAAGAGTCCCGGGCCAGACTTGAAACCCTTATTAGTGGCTCCCAAGCCAGGGCATGTGGGCATCCCCATGAGCCTCAGGCACCCTTAGCAGACTTAGCTAACTGCAGGCTTTGTCAATTCTTTAGCTGTGTGGTCGTGGGCAGACCCTTCAAGAATTGAGCCTGGAAAGGTCTCATCCGCAGATCACTTTGAGTCTACGGAGTTCCCAGGCAAGAGATTTGCCCTGGGTTTGACAGACAAGGTCACCATTTTCGGAGAAAGGCCAGAAAGGCTTCCCTGTAGCCACTCGAGCCCAGGGCGAATCAGGCAAGAGCTTCCTGACAGAGCTGCATGCGAAGGGCATCCGGACGTGCAGCTCCGAGACATGTGCCAACTTTCACGACCTTAAGGGCTGCGTGGAAGCTGCTGGCTTTAAATATCTTAAAATGGCCCTTCAGAAGCAGAGCCGGTCCAGGAGATGCGGGGCAACCCCGCCCCAGACCACGATGAGAAGACTTCCACAGGCGATCCCTCCTCTCTGTGAAACCACGCAAGCTGCGTCCACGCCGCGGGCTTGTTCTGACAGCTGAATTCACACCTGTGACGACGCTCGAGACGCGCCAAGAGGCGGCCGCCGCTTCAGGAGGTGCTGAAAGTCGAAGAGGGCCTTCCAGATGGGGACATGAACGGTAGAGCAGCGTGGCAATGCGAGCCGTCCTTCACCGCCTCGCTGGGGCGATGGCCACGGTTGTTAAGGAGCGGCTACTTGGGAGGTGTGTGTGTGTGTGTGGCACAACATGTGTGAAAAGGCACCGCCTTGGCACGCTGGCCGATAAAGAAGCAGCCCATGTGACAAAAGGCACAACGCTGAATGCCAAACCCCATGTGCACGCAGGTTCAAGGCAAACAGTCAAGAGTGTGAAGTTCTGTGCGTGCCTGCGTGTGCTGGTCGGCTGGGCAACGGAAGTCCCGCCGATGCATGTGGGTGAGGACTGCTTGCAAGGTCTCGGGCATCTTGCGGCGGATGGGTTTGATTCGCGGCGATCAGCATCTGCCATCACAATGAATTTGCACCAGCAAAAGCGAAAGCCACCCTTCGCTGGCCTCTGCATATCCAACCTGCACCTCACAACACGGCCTCCCAGGGCTCCGACAGCGCAAGCACACGTGGGGCCCTTCACTCGTCCTTCTGGGCATCCAACCTTTTGCGACACAAATTGGCGAATGAGTCAGGTAGCAAGGGCACGTGCTTGTGGCGCGCCACTCCAATGATGTCTAAGTTAAGACTCCGCCTTTTGTTGGGCGGCAAGCCTGAGCACATGACCCCAGTGCTGGCGGTGCTGCTGGTGGGGAGGGCGTTGCGACGCCGCAGGATCGGGCATGCCCGCTGGACGAAGACGGGGAGCAGCGACGGGCACAAAGCCCGGTACCTCAGCCCTGTAGCCGACCTGTTCGACCTGTTCTGCCCCCCAATCTTTTCGATCGGGTCTGATGGCTTGGGCTGTTTTTGTTTCCGGGGGGGTCATGTTCCATCCAATGTGTAGTGTTGCGACACGTACGCCCCAACCACGCCGCTCGGGTTTGAGTTATGTCGTCTCGCCGTCAGAAGTAGGTGCGTCCACCCTCAGAAGGAGGACCGTCGCAGAGTCTCACCGCAAAGCAGCTGATGATTTGGCTGAAGCTCCGAAGATGCTAGCCACAGCTTGGATGTTTCTGGCATGGCCAAACTCATGAATGTCAGGGACTCATGGGGTGTGCCTCACAGTCGTCACAGTCTCAGATCCATGCTCAAGGGGCAGGAGGACTTGTAGGTGGCCTCGTGTGCCCAAGCTGACTGTGGCTCCAATCCCACCTCCCTTCATCGAGTGCGTCCCAGGAAGTAGAGCTGGCATCGTATGGCGCTACTGCAGGTTCGCACCAAGGTACCCACATCATCCAAAGAACTCGAGGAACTTCTGACCTTCTTTGGGTGGACTGTAGGCTCCGTAGCAGGGAAGGCATATGAAGGAGTGGCCGACTGCACAAGGCAGATCAGGCGATGAAGATCCTTCAGCGCACGGCTCAAGTCTTCCACCGAGCGGCAGGTACCCAGGTACTCACGCAGACAGTCTCAGAATGGCCCGCCAGGGTCTGAGCAGCCGCGATATTGCGCGCCTGCAAAGCTGAAGATCCCACAGAACGGGCGCTGCAAAAGCAGTGGGCGGCGCAAACACAAGCTGAACGTCGGCAGCTCGTGACCAAACCAAAACCCTGTCTCCCAACAATGGCTCCTCTTCAAACTTGAAAAAGGGTGCCTGACCCCTGCTTGAGAACTTGTCTGTAGAAAACCCGAGTCATGCGTTTCGTCCTTTCCTGCGAATCCTGCGGCAGCTTCCAGTCAACTCCCAGGTCTGGCGGAGCAAGAAACCAGAAACGACCTGAGCCTGCATTAGGACACATGCCTCGCTGGACACATGGCCAGGCCTTCGCCAAGGTCTGTGCCACTGAAAAGCAACGGTGGCCATGACGGCTGTGAAGAGTTCGGCAGAGCACCTGCTGCACACTGGCAGAAAACATCGGAGAATCGACGCCCCATCGCAGCAATGGGAAGCATCGCTCGTCAGCGATCTTCACGCTATTCACACTACCTTTGCAAGCAGGGGTGGGCCACGCCATCGCGGCGCACTTGGTTCTGTTGTGAGTGATGCCGGTTCGCTCGGGGGCGGCTCTGAGCCTCACCGCCCCCTGACATCGGACAGCCTGCATGCTGGCCCCACTGGCCTCACTGCCCTCTCACGACATCCAGCGAGTGGGGGATGTGAGAGGGACGGTTCGGACCTGCCCTCCCCCAACCCAACCCGAAAGGCCAAACAGAAATCTTCCGACAAACACATGCAAATGCAGCTCCCTATGTGCGGAAAGGCAGCATGACAGGTATCCCGTTGCAGGCAAGATGATTGGTTCGAGCACAATGGATCGCACACAAGCAGGGATGCCTTGCTTTGCGTGGCGCTGAGGTGCATGGGTTGCTTGGGGTCCGTGGGAAAGAGGAGCGGTCACCCCGAAACTGCGTACAAAATGAGATGCAACCCAAAGCTGCGAGCACCCTGCCTTCTGAGGCATG